ACAACGTCCGTGAAGCGAGAAAAATCAACTATCAAAATTTCCCAGCCCAAATACGACCCCCTCCTCTCCTGGCGGCCAAATACGACCCCCTCCTATTGGGGATTCTCCAACAACGATGTGCCCTGCCTAAAAGAGGGGGAGGGTAAATAGCCAATGTGAAAGGGGAAAATTTCTTAGATTTTCCCCAATTTCCTACCACTTTTTACGGAATTTCCTGGAAATTTTCCTATTTTTCCCTGAAAATTCTCTGTCGAGCGAGAGGTGAGTATACACATGGAACAGGAAAATCACGCGAAAAGTCAACAACCGGATAAAATTTTTCTCCAGCGCAGCGAATTTCTCTCAAAGCACATACGACCGCCTTTCCCAACGACCAAATACGAGCCCCCCCCTCCCCAGCGGAAAAGTGACGACCCCCTGCGTGTTTCGCACAACGATGTTCACACATACCCTTTTTTGAAGTATCTCTGCGTAATTTTTCGTGACAGATCCGTCGCGAAAAGTAGGTTAAACAGCACTGTTCCAAGCCACTTTCAACCTGATCAATCCGCATCGTTCTGGGGACTTGGCGACAGCTTCGGACGCTCTTTCTTGATTCCACACCAGATGCAGAGTACGATAAATGGCCATAAGTACTGCAATCATTCCCAGAGTAGCCGTGAAATGAAGACGATCGAGCGAGAGCCTGCAAGAAAAAGAGGCATTTTGGTGTCTCCGTCTCTGGTCGCTCCTTCAAACCCGCGCCTATTGATCCTCGCTTACTATCGTTATCGCCACGTTTTAAGGCACTTCATGGAACTTTCTTATCAAATTCCACTCGAAGTTCCCACTCATAGTCCGGACATTTAATTTTCTGCAGAACCTTGTCATCATCCTTCCGCCTGGGACCCATTCGTCTCTCCATCAGGAGTTTGTACTGCGGGAAACCCCGTGCTAGTCCAAGGTGTACATGCATTTTAGTACGACAGTTCGTTGTTTGTTCAGTGGTTAGTAACCAATCACTGTAATCCAAATTCTGCAAGCAAGTTATAACTATAACTATAACTTTCGTATCGCGCACTGCAGCGTTAAACAACAGTTATCTAACAATAACAGCTTAAATCTGCACAAGCAGCTCTGAAAAGCTACGGATCATTGCCACATTCTCCTACACCAGTCGGATCGCACGGCTGACGCCGTGCTCTCCTCCTTCTCTTGAGCTCGGCTTCGCCAGGCGGCTCCATAATTTTAACGGAACTTTTTCGGTAGTGGCTGCTCATAAGGCACT